TGGGGCTGCCCCAGCAGGAGAGGAATGATGACATTGTTCCTGCTTGCTCGTGTCTTCCTGCTGCAGCTACACCAAAGTGGAAGCCAGAGCATGAGTTTTCCCTCAGTGACAGCTTTGGTCCTGTTTTGTGGCTGGCTGTGGATTTGGACATGGACATCTCCGAGCAGTGGCAGGGCACAGTGGTGCAGGAGTGACCACCAACATATGGAAACCATCACACCCACCACAAAGCAGTGCCCTGTGCCAGGAGCTCCCGGTCACCGTCTTTAGGGACAGCTGGGGAAGGGCAGAGCGGGGGGAGAAAAAGGAAACATGGAGAACGTCCGTGTGCTCCCAAAATCTGCCTTGAGCTGAATCACAAGATGCTTATATAAAAATGCAGTTAATTATAACAAAGCAATGAAGCGAGGAAACACAGACATTCACAGCATATCTCCTGCATTCATTAGTTGCTAAAAATGTAGATCACAACAGCTGTGAAGCTACAAACAGGTTAGTAGCAAAACTGTTTCTCCTGGTTATTGTGCTGAGAAGTGGTCTTTCTGTGGGGCTGTTCCCAAAGGCTGTCAGGGTCAGAGGCAGCTCACAGGGCAACTCCAGTAGCACATTTAAATGAGGACGCCATCACCAAGAGCAATTACAGGTCATGTCTGCTCAGGTCTGAGGAATATCTAAAAATGTGGAGAGGATTTAAACCTAGAAATCCACTTGAATTTAAAAAATCCTCAGTCAAACAGGTGTCTGCTGTGTGTGCACTGCAGAGCAAACAGATACGGAACCAAGCATAAAAATAAACCCTGCCTTCAGTATCTGTATACTAAAAGCAAGCTCAATGATAAGAGAAACACGAAGCTCTACCATTGTGGAGACTGAAGTTGTCTGCAGACCTCACATCAGATGGTGGTGTGTCTGGGTCTGCCAAGAAGTCTGGACTGGGGGGGAGGGGGGTGGAATCTAGCAGAATTTATGTTTCTGGCAATGAACAGACCTGAAACCTCAAGTTGGACTTTTAAGTGTATTGGCCACCCTCAGGCAAAATCTTGGTTGCCAAAACAGGGTGCATCTAACCTTTTTCTTTAGGGTTTTCAAAGTAAGGTTTCGTATTACTATAGAAAAGTTATTGTTTTGGATAAGCAGGATGCCAGAATGAATTATTTGTTATGCTCGCGAGCAACTCAAGCAAAACAACAACCAGCGCCAAACAGAACCCCTGTGTTTCCCCACTGGTGGCAAGAAGACCTGTAACCCCACTGGCAGAAAAAGGTGCGACTGCCCTGAACAGCCAGGACAACTCCACATGCAACTTTCCTCAAACTCTTTTCCAGCCACTTGCAATTAATACAAGCCTCTGCAGGACCACAAAACAGGCATCCCTGTTCCCACAGGCTGTGATTGACCTCTGCAGCTGGTCTAGGCTTTTGCTCAGGTAGCATTATCTTACCAACTGTACTCCACTGCTTCTTTTTTTACACTGGAGAGAGGACAGCCTGCCTATTACAGCTTCGTCCTCCTCTTCTGTTCACATTTGCCTTTTTATGTCTCCCAGCCTTGTTAGAGCACTTCTAAAGCACTTGGAGAAGAAAATTGTTCTAAACAAAACTAATGTGCAGAAGAGGACATTAAAAATATCTTCGGACTGGGTATGAATTGAAGACAGTTCACTTCTTTAATGTCTCACTACTGGTCATTAGTAAAAGAGAAAAAAATTAGTTTGGAAAATATTTAAATAAATGAATGATGTTTTGCTGCAGTGTGTTGATTTAAGTAAGAGATCTAAACCTGTAAAAGAAAGGAATTAGTCATTACTCAGAAAACACTAATTGTGACATGTCTCAAGATATCGGAGAGAGAATTAAGGCCTTTGGGGGGAAATAAAAATATCTGCAAATTTGTCACCACTTATGCAAAGAGTTTTTGAATGTTGATTATTTACTGAGCCGGGTCTGAAGTAGCTTCTTTCCTTCTGATCTTTTTTCTCTTGTTTTTGTCTGCCAAAAGAGAAGGGCATTTCTATAGAAACTATGAAGAAACTGGCAATTTCAAAACATAATTAGGAGCTTTATGTGTTTCATTTTAAGGACATTTCACACTATGACCAAATAATAATAAGAACAAAATGCTCACTGAAACAATGAGCTGGGGTTCTTAATGTAAAAACAATTAGGGACTGTTAATGCGTGCTCTGAATAAGGGAGTGAAATTAAGTTATTTCAGTGAAGTGAGGGAAAAATTTTCTGGTAGCATTGTCTGAATTGACTTGTGGTCTTCCCTGAGAATATATCAGGTATTTGCTGTACCACTGACAATTTTTTTAAAGCCAGTGTTCATTTTGTAACAATGTATTGCAACCAAAAGCTGTGTATTTAGGTTCAAATGTGGTCTTAATCCTGCAAGCATACACATACAGAACAGAAAATATAAGTAAACTCATTGAATTTACTAGGACTCCTGTGTGCTGAAAATTGAGATGGACTTGTTTGCAGATTAATATGCTCTTTCATTTACCTGCCTGCTATGCAAGATGAGCTTGAGAAAGCTCCAGGTGATAAAAAGCAACAACCCCAGCTTCCAGATGTGTTTTGTAACATTGCCTTAGAAGGATTTCTTTAGGCTACTTCCCAAATTGATCTAGTTGGATTTGTTTGGTTTAAAACCTAAATAGCCAGTTTATAAAAGTGCCCACAGGAAAAAGGTGTTGGTTTTTTTGTGTGGTGTGGATAGTTTGGTCTTTGATTCCTTCTGCATTTCCAGCATTAGTCAAACTGGCCACGCTGCCTCATTTTTTCTGGGTGTTTGGCCCCAGGAGAAGATTCATGCCAAAGTACCAGATAGATGGCATCGTTAGAGCCTCCTGTATAGTTTAACGTGATTTATTGCCAGGGAAGAATTGTTGTTTCTGCTGCCTCATCCTCTGGCCTTTCTTGTTCATGTTGGCACCTACTTTCAGTCCTCATTCCAAGCAGAGTGCTGGCTTCTGCGTGATGCTCTGAGTCTTTAGACAAGGGAAGTTTTCTCATGATGAAATGCAGTGATGAGCATGGCTAAGGCTTGTCACGATGGAATTTGTTACCTGGTGAGGGACTTAAGCCTTGAAAGTCTTTCACCCAGAAGTCTGCTTACTGAAGTACCTCACAGGTACATGTGTGTGCACAGGAGAAGGTTGGTGTTACCTGCAAACACCAGAGCCAGGGTCCAAACCGGTAACACTGATAACTGGGGAGCCTGCTCTAATTCCACAGTTTGGGGATGGGACCTTACCTGTCTTCCTACCTTGTTCAGAAGAAGTTTAAAGTCACTCTGTAACTGCTGCTCAGGGGTAGCTCTGGCCTTCTTTCATGTCAGTGGTGAAGATGCACAGTACAAGCATTGACGCAGTCACACGGCATCCTCATTACACCTTAAACTGCTTATGCATCAGCCCCCTGCTCTGTGCTTCCCAAATACCTGCTAAGTTTTTCTTCTGAGGCTTGCTTCCAAAAAACCACCCTCTTCCCCCCTTATTCATTGTTTTGTGTGATCTTTACAAAATGTGGTGTTTCTCTCTAAATAGTTTGCCAAAGGCCTGTGACAAACAATATTGTCAGTCGTGAGACATTAAAGAAGTGAACTGTCTTCACTTCATAGTCAATCAGAAGATATTTTTAAATGTCAGAGCTTTTGACTCAGTGGTGTCACTGGCTCCAATTTTTGGATACCCAAAACTGGAATACATAGGCCCAATTTTCAGAAAGTGCTGTGTTCCCTTTCTGTAAATGTTAGTCCTTAAACACATTTCAAAAATATGAACAATTTCGTGAGGATCAGTCAATGCTCTGGAATTTCTGACTGCAATGCATTTCTGCCATCTTCCCTGTTTTCAAGCAGTCATACTTTCTAAATTCGTTTTCAGGTGACATTCTGCCTGGCAGAAAAAGATAAAGAAAATTGAGATAAATATCCTTAATGATTTGTGAGTGACATATTTGGGTTTGTAAGTGTTTAATACTGATTTGCTCTTGTATAACTTTTAAAAGGATGAAATTTTATATTTGAAAATGAAAAAAAATAAGGTAGACATAATCATTTCCTTCATATAACTGATGTATTTCTGAGTGCTGTTTATCAGGAAAATAGCTCTTTCATTTAGTAGAACTCTTATCTATCTCAGTTGAAACTCACCTCATCAAATCAATGGAACAATCCTCTTTCCACCGAATGCAAGACCACTGTAGCTTATGATACCAACAATAATTTTTATTTTCAGAATAATTATTTCTTTCTGAAAATGGCATGTAAGTGTCAGTGTGCTTGATGAAATGGCCATGAACAGATATTACATTATCAGAGTTGAGAGAGGAGATGTGACTTAAATGGTGACATGTATAGTCGGGTTTTGTTGGTGAATGCCAGTGACAGCTCAGCTTGGTGTGGATCCTGCAGAAGCAGAAGACTGACAGCATTGTAAAAAGAAAAGACAGCTTTGTAAAAGGCTTGTTCCATTTTGCATCTCCTTGCACCTTCTGTCAGGTAGCTTCTTGATGCCAGCTCAGGGTCAGAGCAGCACTAGCTGCATGTCTGCTCACAAACTTGGCACTGTGGTTGAATTACTGTGCAAGCACAGAATAACCCAGGGAGATTAGATCTGAACCCTGTAGAATCTAGAAATGCATCCCAGTGCAATGGACTGTCCTTCTGTGGGACATCTTTTGCAACACTGTGAGTCTTCACCCTCACCAAGGGATTAGTATATAGTCTACAGCTACCGTGATGCCAAAATTCTGGACAAATCTGCTCACACATTTCACCATTGGATTCTCCCAGTGAGACTAAAAATTTACAAAAGGCAATGATTTGTCTAATAGGAAAAAGTGAGTTAAAAAAAAATAAAGCAAAGAGGACAATAATGCTTGAGGTTATTCTCTCATAGTAAAATGGAGAAGCAGTTAATCTGAGTGGCACTGTTTTGTGAAAAAGTTGGGCACATTTGCTTCCCTAATAGCATTCTCTTATGTGTTCTGTAGGTCCAGCTGCCCAGCGCCAGGTCCAGAATGGGCCATCTCCAGATGAGGTGGAAGCACAGAGAAGGTAAGTGGAGTTAATCAGTTACGGTAGAGTTCTAGTTTGTAACTTGGATGAATGAGCAGTCCTTGCTTACCAATAAGCACTGTCTTTTTTTCACTTATACCTGACTTAAGCTGATTCTGAGTTTTCTGTAATTATTGGTAATGATTCTATGACGACTTTTTAAAGGGTGAAGTAAACTGAAGCCCTAGGTAAAGTCTTGGCTCAAAGGCAAGTGTGAGGCATACTGATGTTCAGAGATGAAGACAAAACATGTTTAAAAGTAATTTCTTGAGTGTGTGTTTCTCAAGCACATTAAGAAAGCCTAACCATATCCTGTTCTGGATCATCTGCTGGCAGCTGACAGTCATACCGCCTAGGGAGCATCTAATGGTCCATATCCACCCTCAGTAATAGCTTAGGCCCATTTTGCATGTGGCCACTTCCTATATCATGTACCATTCCTTTTATAAATGTTTCGCTCTAAAACAGGATAATAAATAGAAGTGCAAAGTCGTAGCCTTCACCTTTACACGCCTGTCTACCCTTAGTGCCATTATTACACATGGCCTTTTCTCTAGCCACTAGGACTGGTCTCCTTGACATCAAAGAGAAGGTGGGCAAGAGTGTCCATCCTCGTATGCCTGTCTCAATAATCAAATTACGAGGCCCATCTCATTTCAGCTTTACTGATTCAGCCAAGATTTCTGTAGGAGCAGTAGAAATCCCTGTAGCAGCAGTATCATCTTCAGGTTCCTTCACTAAGAATAAAAGACTTGCCTGTCCCATTCGGGACAAGGTCTTCTAGTGTGACCAGTAGTCCATGCTGGCAAAGGTGTGATCTGTCTGCCTGGCATTGGCGGTGTCCACACCAGCAGCACTGCTTAGCCAGGCTTGTGCTTCCCTGTGCACACAAAACACCACCTTTGTTCCCCATATCGCTGCTCACTGCAAGTGTGTTTCTCCTACTGTACTGGAGAATATACTGCTGTAACACGCGTAGCTATAAGCTGGTGAGCCTCGCTTCATCAGGAGTGCGCTGGAGTACAGAAATCGGCAGGACCTGTCGCTGCTCCAAGCTTGGTGCTGGCATTGCTTAAATAAGGTGTTTGCATTTGCTTCTGTAATGAGAGGAGAATCAGCAAGAGCACAGTTAGCCCTCCAGACCACTTGGTCTGGTGTTCAGCTAATAAATAGCTTTGTAAGGATTTTAGTGGAACCAGACCTGCAGGGGCAGTTCATCACCAAAGATGCTGGATGTTGTTCTGACAGGTGCTCAGTGGGCTCTGCCTTTGTCTGTAGGTCCAATCTGTAAGCAGGCGAGGTCCTCCCTTGGGGAATCCACAGACTGCTCTGGCCCTATGGGTTGTGTAGCTTAATATCACACGCTTCTGGAGCAGCAGAGATGAAGTGCTGCAGTATATTGTTTGCATTCATGCTCCAGGACTACCGTTCTGACTGAAGCCTATACAAAACCACGTATAGGTCATTTAAGACAAGGCCCTTACACAGGCTGTGGTAGGTACTTAGGATTCCCTTTTTCCCTCTCCAA